TCAAAACAAAATGCAGTGGGTTATTTTGTTGTAAGCCAGTGGAAAAATAAAACAGCAAGCTTTCCTAATATAAAAATAAATATCATTTACATCTTTACTGAATCCAACTTTTAGGAAAGTTTCCTCAAATCAACAAATTTCCGTTTCGTATCGTTGACCTCTCAGTCAGTACCGTTTTCTTTGCTGTGATTTTTTTTGCAATGAATTATTGCAAGAAAAAAATTTACTAGATGAAAATATTATAATAATAATAACAATAAATCAGAGTTAATCCGACGACCACGGTCCAGTGCCGAACTAACTGTAAGTGGCGTCACGCTCCTTTTCTTCTGATGGAAGAAGAATTAAGATTCAAGATTCAAGATAGTAAAAGTTCAGTAAACTGAAACTGAAAGAAGTTGAAATTAAGGAGATCGAGACAAACTTTGTTAGTATCTATTCCTCAAGGATACCATCCATCACCAAGGATGAATGGAAATTTTGCAATCCATTTCTCGATCTATCGATCTATTTCCCATAAATCGTTTTCGCCACGATTTCTATAAACCCACTCAATTGGCCTCAATTCTCTTCGAATGATTCGGTTTCGCTCTCAAATTGTCCCAGTGCTTGGATTTATTTTATTACATATGTAGAAAAGTGATTACGACGATAACAACTATATGACTATGAACAGTTAGTTATTTAATTACAAGTGGTAATAGATAAATAGATGTGTTGGTGTTGGTTTTGGTATTGGTGTTGGTTTGTTCCACAAAATGTGAAGAAATCCAGGCAAAGTTGACGTTGATGGAACGATTTGCCCTTCGTGGTACAGCTGGAGACTTATAAAATTTATTGAGGAAAATAATGCTGGGAAATGGTGAAGAATTATCGATATTTAGAGGAAAAATATCGATTAATTTAGTTAGATCAATCATCATTTTAAAGACTTATCAAATCTTGTTCGTTTAATTGTAACAAACTAATCAACTGGTCGTAGTCTGAGAAATTAGACTTGACCTTGAACAAATGGTGTATTATGTCTAAATACTCTTTTTATATAACTGGTTATCTAAAGGGCCATCCATTAATCAGGTGACCGATTCTTTAAAGATTTTTGTACCCCTTCCCCTTTTTGGTGATATTTAAAATTACCTCCCTCTCCCACCAAACATCACATTTTTAGTTACAAGATAAAATCGTATTTTTTTAAATTTGTTTGTAAAAATATTTAGATTTTTTTTAAACTTATGTAAAAAATAAATACACGTGTTATTTTACTGGACTTTGCTTTTTCCCAGGTGATATTTTGTAATTTTTGGTCCAGAAATTCAGAAATCCAGAATTTGAACCTAGTGGTAAATTTACGTGCTACAGTTGGTGGCGCCCCTATGGAGTATTAAAAAATAGTTATGCTTGATTTATAGTTTTAAGAAGTTAGCAATTCTTTATAATCTTAATTTATAATCTTAAAAAAAAATTATGATAATTGATGTAAGTGCTATTTATTTAGGTTATTTAGTTAGGAATATAGGTTTATTAGTTAAATTTTATTTTTGAGGAATGATTGATAAATTGTGTAAAAATTTTAATTATTTGCTTTTCTTTTTCTAAATGTATCAATATTTGGTGATGGTTCCTAAATAGCCATGGGAATTTTTTTTTCAAATTTAATCTATTTTTCACTAATATCAAAAAATTTACTTGATTTTTTCTAAATCTGAATAAAAAAAACAGAACTTTTAATAAACTTCAAGTTGACAATAAAAAATAAATCACAAACTTTTTACGCATTGAGCAAATTTTTGAGTATTATTAAAATTTAATCTATTTTTCACTAATATCAAAAAAATTGCTTCATTTCTTCTTTAAATCTGAATGTAAAATACAGAACTTTTGACAAACTTCAAGTTGACAATAAAAAATAAATCACAAGCTTGTTCATCTCTTATTGAGTAAATTTTTGAGTATTTTCAATACATAATACATAAATATTTGATAGAATTTATTTTAGAACTTCAAGAATTTAAATACAAGGTTAGACATAATATTAAATTTGATAAAAAATATTTAATATTAAAAGCAATATTATTTGGATCTAACTAAGAGCTCTTCAGATATTTTTGTCTTTCTTTAATGAAATTTCAACATACTTCTTGTTTTTTTTTGTTATTATTAATTAATTAAATTTTTTTAATTAGTACAATTTCTTTCAGCAAAATATAAAATTTAAATTTAAAATATTTTTATTTTATAAAATTTGTTACATAAACCAATAAATAATAACAAACATTTTAAAATAATAACAGATCGTAATTGTTTAGTTTAGAGATAATTATTGAAATTTTCTCAAAAAGTTAGTAAAATAAAATAACAAACTTATCCAATGATATGCATGTAAAAAATAATTTGATAATTTTTAATATGATTTTGAAGGACATAGGATATTATATGTTATTTTTTATATTTTTATGTTATATTACTGTTCAATATCTATTAAAATTATACAATGATAATAAAATATAAATCAAACTATTAGTTATTTTTTATTAATTTTGGAATCAAAGCAACAAGAGAAAAAAAATCACATTGTGCATTTCACATCGCAAATTTGCAAAAGCACATATAATTTTAGTGCAAAACCTCCATGATCTATTTTCTGTCTATAAAGACAAAATTGGTTATCCAAAATAAATTAGCCTGGAGAAATTTTAATATTGTTTTAACTAGATTTATCCTAATATTAAAAGTAAATTCATTTTACTTCAAGATAGAATTATATAGACTTTTATCTATTATCAAAAGTGCCTAAAATGTACAAAAAGTACAATTTGCTCTGAGGTCAAACTTTGAAGATGCATTTTTTGTCTTTGGACAATTATCTTGGATCTGATATTTAAATTTAGCAAAGTGTAAATATCATTTTATATTAACTGAAATTACCTACAAATCGATATCTATTATTTATATCGATATTTTCCTATTCACTATAAATATTACAGTAGAGAAATCTCATTAGCGAATTGCTGTTATCGTCGCCAGACAGACGGACAGTTCCAGTAACAGTTCTTTAGTTCAGTTTAGCAGAAAACCATAGCAAAAAAAAAGTTAAAATGGAAAACAAGTTAAAAGCTCTCGTTTATTAATAGGAACATGACATTATATAACAGATTATAACTGTGACAGCTGATTACCAAACAGCTTCGAGTTTCGAGAAAACAAACAAATCCAATGTAGGTGAACTGAAATCGAGGCAGGGGTTCTAAAATTATAAATTAATCAATTGATGAATACATACATTATTCAGGTATTTTGTCTAAGTCTAAATGTCACTTGGACTAATTTTGATGTCAGATGATACAGAATGACTTGACACGATAAGATAACATAAAATACGCAGGACAGATTTTGCGGTAGATATAAAATCTGATGCTGCTATGTAGGAGATACCAATTATATTTATGACAAACTCAAGATTATCTGAAGTAAAAAAAAACTAGTGGTGTATGGCATCGTGCTTTAAGGCAAATTGCTGGAACTTTCCGTATCGTAATGAAATATTCGAGAAATTTTAAACGTTTTCAAATATATTATTACAAATATTGTAACTTTCATTATTTTTGCATTATCTTGTTATATCTGAGCAAATCAAATGTAAATCAATTTATCTCCAGAACATTAACAATCTAATAACCACTTTTCCCTGTCATTACTAACTGAATGTTTTTTGAAAACTGAAAAACTCGATTTCCATTTTCTGCACTCTTTGCTCCATATCTCCGTAACGGCTGGACCTGCCTTTGCCAAAAACTAATCAGCACATCTCCCTATCAATAGGGATCGAATGTTTTATAAACCATTCAAATCGGTTGATCCGTGCGCCCGAAAACGTGGACGAAAAATGCGGACATACAAAAAACACACACACACATCAATTTTTTGTGAGGTATGCCAAAATGTTCAGTAACCTTCAAATCGTCGAGAAATGCAAAAAAAATTATTTTCGATTTTCGTCTCATTACTATAACTACCCTACGGGAAGTTAACAAGTTAAAATCAGCGAATTTTGCAGTAACATGGTCGAGAACACAACGTTGTTATGGCAACGCTATTTTATCCTTTTTGCCTGCTACTATTTGCCGTGCAATCAGGCGTATTTTACATTTAAACAAACCTAAAAAGAATGTTTTGATAACTGCATATTTGTGATAAGCATTTATAGCATGCGGTTTTATGTGTAAATTGCTAGATATATTCATTTATATTTGATAGATAATTTCATAGTTTTTTTACTAAGAAAGAGGAATTATCAGATTTGGCCCTTTAGTTAAGATAATGAAGTGTGGGAATCAAGAAGCCTTGGAATTTGATAAAAACAAGTATTCATGTCATAACATTTTGTATAGTGTATAGTTTTGATAATGATGTATTTCAATACTATTTTTATAAAAATTAGAAATATCTTTATATTAATTAATTTGTTTGTATACTGGTGACCTACGACATCTACAATGAAATAGCATTTTATCATGGATACAAAAATTGAAAAAAGAAAATATAGACTTTTGTGCAACGCTCTAGTCTTTTGTCTTCCGTTGGTTACTTAAAAAGTACGCCTAGTCATTGGGTTAACGCATTTACTCTAGCCACGACACCGGACTTCCATTGGTATACCCATTCTGTATGTCTAGAACAAATTATCGCTGACACCAAATAGTTTACTGAAATCGCAATTCAACTTCTCCTTGTCCTTTAACTCACCAAATCGTCTTTTGATGCTTAAGACTTTGGAACTTAATCTGGATTGTTTGTTGTTTTTAGAACTGGATTTACGGTGGATTTTTAATTCATATATTTCTATAGAAGTATGCCAAAAAATAGGTACACATAAAGTGATGCAATTCAGTGACAATGGACTTTCTCATCATTGCCTTACTTTTTTTTATGTATCAACAACAGGATTATTGTCCTTCGTCATACTTTGGGAACCTTTGCCCCTTCGTCCACTTATTTATCACCGTCTCCGTCTGTCGCCCTAAATACGTCGCCAATTCCACTTCTGTTTATAATTCGCTTGCTCTGATATTGACATCGTGGTGGATTATTACATAATTTCACTGTTAGAAAGTCTACGTAGACGACGGCCGCCATCGACACAGACAACTCTGCAGCCACCGCCGCCACTGTCCGCCGTCACTGTCTAAATGAAAAGTGTTTATAGTATCAAATAGATCTAGGTTACGTTTGTAACTGATAATCTCCTGAGCCAGGTTAAATCAGGCGAATAGACTAAAGACCGAGATCCGGTGGAAAATTTAAAACACAGCTCCTTTCTGTATCAAAGTTATCCCTGTGTGCACTAAAACGTGGGCACTCTAATTCAACTTATTGTAAATCTTCAACTTATCCAGAAGTAGCATGAATATACTTTATATTATATTATTTTAATTTTTGGCACATCTCAGCTGCTTTTCGGCAATAATAATGTAGACATAACATTTGTTTCGAATATCACATTCTAATATTATCTAGGCTCATAAGTGAATTGAAATGACTGGCAGATGACAGTTCTCGCGTATCAAAATGTTTTCAAGGTCAAACAATGATAAGCGGTTTTTTGTAAGTTTTGCTTTATTTGTACAATATTACTATAGTTTTATCGTTCATTAAATGTTAAAAATTTACTTTGACAAACTTCAAAGAAATTTATCAAAATTCGAGTAACGGAGTAGGAGAAGTTTGAATTCGTACATCCGAACAGAAGAATTTTATATATAAGATATATATATATATATATATATATATATATATGTATGTATTTATCTATTTGAATATGTTTTCTACTAGCTCTTTGCCAATTTTCTCATTTACGAGCAAAATAGAACAAAAAGTGTAAACCAGTACATGTACTCTCAGACATGTCTCTATGTCGAGATAATCGCAAAATTATTACGGCATAAAATGACGACAAGGCACCAATTTATTAATTAATGTAAATGAATATGTTTATAACAAACATTTTCAAGCATCCACCCAATTATTTAAAAGTATATGAGGTTCAATAATATTTTTATACTGATAAGTTTCGAGTCTTTCTCAGAAAGTACTAAAATTTTGGACAAATGAAATTGATAATTAAAATATGTGTGATGAAGTATGAACTAATTAATTAAAAATTAATTTCAAAATTTAAATAACAACTAGAGGTTTTACTGTTTATTCTTTTGCAATATATATTTGGATTATTTAGGAATAAATAAAAAAGTACATAGTGGTTTTACGTGCGTAGAAGTGTATAAGTCCAGATTCATTTTTTGGAAACAAAAATTGCAAATAATGCATATTTGATGGTTTTCAAATTACTGCAGAAATTTTTCTTATTATTCCATGTTTGGATACAAATTACAAGTAATGTTATGTTACGGGTCTATATTCGTATGAGTTGGCATTAAAAAACTGTAAGAAAGCTATGTATGTATTTGCTGTGCAATCTGGCGTTTTACACATAAAACCTAACCTACAAAACGCACAAACAATAACAATTTCATCACAAGTGTATTTTTCAGATGTTATCATTACCATAACATTTCTATTTTATTCAAAAATTGCACCTTAAAATTAAAGGTTTATTATTAAAAGATCGATTTTGTTTCAAATTTGGATATACAAATAAATAATTTATTCCCAATGTATGGTTAATTAATTGAAAATATTTAATGCACAAAACTTATTTTGCAAAATATATATTAATTTTGTTATGACTAATAAAAGAATTAATTCTCTCAAAAAACATGAATTTTTGCAAATAATTCTCTGATCACTCTGTAAATTAATTTATGAAATTTAAAATCAAATAACCGTTTGTGTAGTAAGATTTGCTTTCAGCCAGGCACAATAAAATTTCTATTAAATATTTACCTATGAATATATATATATATATATATATATATATATATATTATATGTATATTAGGGTGGTCCTTAAAATGGTCATTTTCGAATTTCCTTGCTCCCAGGGGATCAAATGGTTCCAAATAGATAAAAAACAATTCTCTAAAAGTTTTAGCTCTTAATATTAACGTTTAGATAGAGCGCAATTCAATCAAAGTTTGTATGGGAAGAGCATGGAAAAATTTTTGAAAATTAAAAAAAAATGTTTTAGGTATAACTTAGCGACAAATGAATGAGTTTTATTCATTCATTTGTTCGCTAAATTACATCTAAAAAACATTTTTTAAATTTTTGAAAATTTTTTCATGCTATTTCCATACAAAACTTTGATTGAATTGCGCTCTATCTAAACGTTAATATTAAGAGCTAAAACTTTTAGAGAATTGTTTTTTATCTATTTGGAACCATTTGAGCCCCTGGGAGCAAGGAAATTCAAAAATGACCATTTTAAGGACCACCCTAATGTATATATATATATATATATAATATATATATATATATATATATATATATATATATATATATATATATATAATGTTCTCTTGAATTTAAAAATCTACAAATAATATTCATAGGTTTTCGAGAATTTTCTGTTCGATTCAATATATTAGCAATAATACAAAATGAATGACATTTATTCTGTACGTTTAGAAACTATATGTGTGCCATCATTCAGCATTTTTAAAATATTAACAAAATCATTAAATAAAGGATACAACTTAGATAAAAAATAGTTGAAGATATTTCTTGAAGATATTTATTGATATTTCATTATTTTGTAACTGATGAGTAATGACCCATATATAGTGTCTAAACGTCAGAATAAGAATCTTTTATCAGTTATTTTTTGAATCATTATTAATTTTTGTTAATTGTCTGTTAATTGAGTTGAGAAAACTATGTAAAAATAACATAACAATAAATGGTTCTAATAATCTCAATTTTACAATTTTTAATAATAATGATAATCAAACAAAAAAAAGTTATAATTTTCTTTTTTATTATTAAAAAATATCTGTATCATAATTAAATAGGCAAAAATATTGTAAAATTGTACGTTACCCAGAATTTAAAAAAAAATCACATTTTAGTCAATTTTAATTTTAGTCTATTTTTTTTCTTCTACGTACATTCCATCTTTTAGTGTTTCATCAACTGTAATTTTTTCTAAATATTTGTCGTATTATTTATTTCACCTGTTTATATACTTTTTAAATAACTAATTAAAAACAGTGACGACATAAAATTAGATAAGATAAGATAAAAAAAATTCATTTCATAATAAGGACGTGGAAAGACGTCATAAAACGTTCAGGATAAGATAAGAAATTTCTTATAAACAATTTGATAATAATTAAGGAGCATATTAATAATCAGCTGACCATTTTGTCCTAGTCCTAATCCTAAAATTTTGACCATTTAGTAAACAAAATCAATTATTTTATTCGAAAACAATAAGAAACTTATGAATATGTTTAACAGTCAGTTTCTATTTTATTTTCTTGCTTTAATAATTTTAGGATTTATTATATAACGTTTTCAAATTTTGGAACTGACAAAAATTTAGCAAATTAATCTTTGCAATTATTTACCAAGATTGTTCCCAAGAATATCAAAATTCTAAATAAATTTTTAAAAAAATCTTTTGTTTTGGACAACTTCAAACTTTAAACTAAATCTATATTTTATTAATAAATATATATTTTATATTTTCCACAAATGTTCTCTGATTTAAATTTCCTTTTGCGTTTGAGGTCAAGATGAACCCAAGATCATGGCTCAAACGGTTTTTTTCTGGTTCAAGACGCATATTGAAAATGTTGAAATTTCCAATTCAAATTTCAAAATCCAATTCGACTTCTCCATCGGGGAATAAATTAAAATAAATAAGATTGTTCTCCGAGTGGAATTATTTTGATACATTGTTGCTAAGGGATAATAGATATATATATAAAATATTTCTGCCAATTTCTGGTGTCTTTTGTCAACAATTTTTATTACAAACTCCAAGAATTTAGTGATAAAATATGAAATGTATATAATTTTTTTCAACATTTTCTTTGGAAAGTGACGCACGCCTTTCGTGTATAATTTATTGTAGCAATTTGTTGAAAACAAAAACAAATCACATAAGAATTTTTCAGAATGAAAATTTAAATAAATTCGTGTAAAAAATATATCATTATGAGATAAAAAAACTTGTTAAGGTTGTTAATATGTTGTAACTTAGGTCATTATTTTTTGCCAGGGAAGAACCAAGAAAATTGGGCTATAAATAAAAATGGTTTTTAAGTGAGAATGGTCAGATATATTTTTTTTATTTTTGACCTATAAGAAAATAGATAATGAAAATAGATGCAGTAACAGTAATCTCAAAACAATTGGGATCCAAAAAATATTTTCAAAATTACCAAAATTTTTTGTTTTGTCCAAAATATTTCTTCAAGACCAATATTTTTTCCAACTCTTTAATATAAAAAATGTCTTAACAAAAATCAATCCACACGATTCCGAATAGTTTATACTTCAAATAGATCTTTAAATATCTCAATAGGTTACTCAAATTATTAGTAGATCTCTCGAAATTTTATTAAATTGCTCAAACTTTAATAAAAAAAATACTTGAATCTATTTTGACTGATGTCTTTTATCATTTTTAAAATAATTTTAAAAATTTCTTTTATCAAAATTGCTTCTTAAGATCTTAATAGACCACTCAAAATCTTAATTGATCACATAAGATCTTAATAGATCATTCAAAATCTCAATTTTAATAGAAATATTTTTGTAATAGTTTCAGAATTTTTAAAATTGGCTTTAGATTTTTTTTCTTATTAAAATTCTCAATATCTTAATATATCACTTAAGATCTTGATAGATTACTCTAATTTTAATAGAAATGTTTTTGGAATGGTTTCTGAATTTTTAGAATCGGTTTAAGTTTTTTTTCTAATAAAATCACTACTTAAGATCTTAACAGATTACTCAAAATCTTTCAAGTTTTCATTAAGCCCTCAAATTTTAATTCAAGTTTTGAAATTTATTTTATTCGATGGTTCTGAGCTTTCAAAATCTGTTCAAAAATTTGTTATATTAAAATTACTTTTTAAGATATTAATAGATCACTAAAGTTCTTAATTGAATACTCAATATCTTAATATATCACTCAAATTTTAATAGAAATTTATTTTAATCGATGGT